TTTTTTACACTTGCACTGAAAGGTTGATGGACTTAGCAATACCTAAATTAAAAATGCAGTATGATGGTAAAAATTATGATAAAAATAACTGAGATAAAAGTGAAAATGATAACATGTACTGTTCATCCCCAATAATTTTATTTTCCATTTTGTTGCACATATCAGATTTATCTTAGAAAACGGTAAACATTTTAAACAAAAACTGTTGATATTCAATCTGCCAAACTATGTATGTGATGCTGCAACTTCTGACATGTGCGTTTTATGTGACATAACCCGTAACCAATCGAACGCATAACCAATTTGTCATGGCCAGAAAGTGCACATATAAGATTGGTCTAATCGACTTCTAGATGGAAATAATACATATTTGTTTTTGTAATCGATGCGCTATCCGATTTGAAGGACATCTAGCTAAGAAAAACATCTAAATATTTGCACATATCAGTTTTGGTAGGCGCACCGACGACATTCAACAAAAGTACAATAGGTACATACCTATCTTTAAACAAAAGTTCATGTAAGTACCAATGTTAGTCATCAGCTGATTCATAACACAGTGTAATGCTTTACTTATTACTTTTTATTGCAAGTCTGATGAGTAATAATAATTCTAAAGTTAGTAATTAAGGTTCTGAATAATGAAAACACATAGAATCACAGACCAGTAGTGGGAGCATGGTCCAAGCTACGGGTGGTTAGAGCTCTAGAGATAGAAACCTCATCACGATGCGCGCCGTTTCAAGGAGATCCTTTGACCCAACTGCCTAACGCTAGCCTCCTATTGTGGTCGTCGATGCTATTAGGAATTAAACCGTTGGCCGACACGACTATCGGCACAATGATAGCCGAATCAACATTCCACATGTCGACAACCTCGCGAGCTAAACTAAGATATTTGATTTGTTTATCTTTTTCAGCTTTCACGAGGTTCTCATCATGGGGTATGGTGATATCGGTTATCATCGAGCAGCGTACTTGTCGGTCTATCACCACTATATCAGGTTTATTGGCTACAATAGTCCTGTCAGTGATGATAGACCGGTCTCACTACAATGTGATATGGTCCTTTTCACGGAATATAGAATACAATGGAAGTAGCAAGTAGGCGTGGCACGCGTGCCACAACTGAGCCGTGTACTGCGTACTCGAGGCAAATTCGAGTTCAGTCTCGTTCGAATATGGCGTCGAGTTTCTAGTCTCGTGACAAATACATATTTCCTCAACTATGCCGTTTTGTTCCGTTTTGGCGTGTAAAATTGATAGCAGCCGAAAAATCATAAAAATGGAGGTGTTTCGTATCATCGGTAAGTACAATTTTCATTGTTTTCTTGTAGAAATCTTATTTTATTTCAATTTACAAAAACGGTTATTAAAATAATATTATTTACTAAAACGGTTAGTCAAAATCAACCTTACGCCTTCAAGATGAAGTTTATTTTGGATTTATTCCATTCAATAGAACATTCTCGCCAGTTCTACGCTACTCAAATAGTGATGTAGTCAAATCACATATTGAATTTATCGATTGATATCGATGCAAGTGTAATGTAACATTTATTTAGATTATTTTTTTATTATTATTTTAGTGGTGACCCCGACGTGATTGGAAGCAACTTTCACTTCACGGAGCAGATCAGCACCGTCATCCTTATCGCCATCCCTCTCATTTATCACATTATCCATATAAAGTTTGTAAAAATTTATGTAATAGTTGCTACATATATTGCCTATGTGAAATAAAAAAAAATGTTTGTTTGAAAAAAGAAACTAATAAAAAATACGAACAAAATGGTTTTTAATTTACATGCAAATAAATACTTACCCTTTTTTGTTACGTTTAAAAAGTTATCAACGACATATTAATTTTATTATTTTAATACTGTCACACTATCGCAGTCAATATTTTTTTTCACATTATTTTTAAAACACGTTTTCATATTATCGATATTATTTTTATCGAATTAGGCTACATCACTATCTGAGTAAAGACCCGCATTCGAGCCAGTGATAAGCCATTCAAATATCACCTTTATTCTTATGATGTTAAAGTTCAAACCAAGTACCACTTTTCGTCGCTAGATGACATTGTTAAACGCCATCTAGCGACGAATGGCGGTACTTGGTAGTCCAAAATATACTTTTTTTATTTTGATTTATAGTGCATTGATTTTAAAGTTGCATATCGTATGATATTTTTTTTGCATTTCGTTTACGCCCATTTTTTTTCTAACCAATCGTAACTTCCGATTTATAGTATGAGTAAATCTATCTATACTAATATTATAAAGAGGAAAGATTTGTATTTTTGTATTTTTGTATGTTTGTAATGAATAAACTCAAAAACTACTGAACCGATTGCAATAATTTTTTCACCATTCGAAAGCTGCATTATTCAGAAGTAACATAGGCTATATAATATCACGCTAGGTCCTATAGTTGTGGAGCAGTAACCAAAAATGTTTTAAAAACGGGGGAAAAGTATCGTTTCTGAGGCCTTCCGTGGCGTGCGCTGAGCATATAGTTAAAGTTATACAAAAATGTTCTATAGATGAATTGTTTATCTTAACATTATTTTTAAAAAAGTCCGCGAGAGCATATGTCTACCTTTTATAGTTTACCCATAACAATCGTTTTAATGAATGGTTCAATCCTTATAAAAGTTTGCTCTAGATAACTTTTGAATTGTTCAATCGGTTACCTTAAGACGCGACATCGACAACGGAGGGCAGGTCGCTAAAAAAAAACTGAGAATAAATATAAATAAAACGTAAAACTATGTAAAAAATCTTAAGTCCCCCCGTGCGAAGCCGGGACGGGCCTCTAGTTATAAATGTATTAGTTTGGCGACACCGGTTCTGGCAGAAATATTGTTTCAAGCTACTTCCATTGTATTCTATATTCCGTGGGTTGTAACGTCTGTCTGACTCTGTAGCGATATCATTTGTCAAATTCAAATACTGAACTTAGGGATGTGAAAAAATAATCGGTAACAGAAAATACCGATTAATTAACGAAATTATTGAAAATTTATTTTTGACGTGACAACGTCTTATAAATTGGTTTGCCGGGTGACACTTTAAGAAACTGCGTTACGCTCCGCTCACGTTATACGCTCACAATGAGACCGAGTGAGAGGCACGCGTCCCTTCCACTCGGGCATGGTTAGCCCGCCTAAGAGCGAGAGAGACAGACATAATATTTTACCACTCAAAGTCGTTGTCACGTAAAACTTTAGCCCGTATACCGACTTTACAGGCAACCAATTTTTTTTGTTCGTGTTTTTATTTTTGGCAACAAGCGATTTTTCATCTGCAAACCCCGCATAGTTTGCTCTTCTGACCCGTAGCTAGAAATGCGAACTATCAAAGATTACTGTTTCTATAAAATACTTAAACATTGCATTAACGCCAACCATAATCCCTTTGTCCTCCACTACGCAGCATAGTTCTTGGTGTAAATTCGACCATTACCAGATTAGCAAAAGTCATAAAAATCTTATTGCAGTGACGTGATTATTATACATCACGGCAGCCTTGGAAGTTTCCGTAAATCTATTATTGCATTATTCACTCAGGGCTGATTAAAATAATAATAATCATCTTATAATAATAATAAAACAATTTTACTATTTTATACTAACAATAATATATATATTTTATGGGGTTAGCCGGTAAAATCGGCGTCGCCCATGGACACCTGGAACACCAGAGGCGTTACAAATGCGTTGCTGGCCTTTTGGGATTAGGAATTTGACGATTAGGACTCAGGGATTGGGAAACGGGAGAAGGGGTAGTCGGACCTCCGGTAAGACCTCAATCACGCGACGAACCACAAAGCATGCGTTGTTTTACGTCGGTCACTTATGAGGCCATGGTATCACTCCGGTCGAGCCAGCCCATTCGTGACGACATGCTTCGTCAATAAAATAAGTGTTATCTTTCCCAACTGGTGATTATTCAGGTTAGGTATCCTTGCACATATTTTGGTTACAATCCTACACATTAGTTAGATTTGACTCTATTGAATTTCTAATTTAATTAATTGATCGCAATTTTTATGTTATGTTGCTTTATCTTGTTCGAAAGTTATAATTTTGACGTGACAACGTCTTATAAATTGGTTTGCCGGGTGACACTTCAAGAAACTGCGTTACGCTCCGCTCTCGTTATGCGCTCACAATGAGAGCAAGTGAGAGGAACGCGTCCCTTCTACTCGGGCATGGTTAGCCCGCCTAAGAGCGAGAGAGACAGACATAATATTTTACCACTGAAAGTCGTTGTCACGTAAAACTTTCGCCCGTATACCGACTTTACAGGCAACCAATTTTTTTTATGTAAATAATTGGACTAATTAGAAAAAAAATATAAATAGATTTTTATAATCATTTTGTAAAACTCGATTTTATTTATAAAAAAATCGATCCTATTTGTACAATACTATCTAACATCCCTAACTGAACTTTTAAATTTGATACACAGGCTTTTATCACCCTTACAACTCTTTATTTATTGTTTTCTCTACTGCCAGGGGTCTTTATTAACAATCTGCTGCAGCTCATAAACCTGGACCACCTGGAAGATCGTACTCTTTCGCCTAGTTCAGGTAGTATTGGTTGTTTTTTTTTTATTTTCTTTCAACAAATTATTATTTGTTTTTGTTAAGCACAGTGCACAATTTCACTTACCCAACATAAATAAATTAATAAATAAAAAAGAAATTTTCCCTTTTCTGGAAAAAACTAAAACATTATTTATTAAACTGTTTATATAATTTAATTAACTATTTACAAAAGAAGTTTAATTCCAGTTTCGGAACTGCACCTATTTGTTGTGACTTTTGTTTGTTTGACAATAATGACAGGTAAACAAATATGGCGAAACGATTGTCGGGCTCTTCTAACTATTCGCCTCTGTGTTTATTTTTCAGTCGTGAAGTGAAAGAATTAATTAAATGACTTAATAAATAACAAACTACTTACAGATACTATTGTTAGAATAATGACGGATATAAAAGTGTGTAGAATATGCCTTCGAACGGAGGCAAAAATGTATCATTACAGTTCGTATCGACTGAAGTTTTATTACGAAGAAGTAATGGCTTTACAGGCAAGTTTATTTTTATTATAAAAGTTTTATTTCAAAAAATAAATATATATTGCTATCTGGCCGACATAAGTTAGTCTTAAAATATGTATTCTTATTAGAAAATAATTGTATTATTACTTGTGTACGACGTGCTAAATTAATTTATGTTTTTCGGCTTGGTCACGTAACTGTTTGTTGAAGAACTCAACTAGTTTCAAGCCACACTACGTACTCGTAATCATGAGCGGCATTGCCCGACACAGTTGACTTGAATCTAGTTGTGTACAGCGTGATGATAGCCTTACGCCAAGATCCTACAGTACAGGATTAACTGCCTAATCCGGAGGCCCATTACCCTCCCCTTCCCCAATCTCCCCAATACCTGAATCCCCAACGATAATCAAACTCCTAATCCCCAACAGGCTGGTAACGCACTTGTAACGCGCGACGCCGACTGCTTACCATCAGGTGATCCGTCTGCTCGTTTACCGGCTTATAGCATAAAAAAAAAACCACTAGCTAACGTTATCCTACACTATCCTAGATAATCGAACCCTTATAATATCCTATCCTGGAACCCTTAAGCCTAATTACCTACATAGTCTAAATCCTATACAATCTCGCAGACATGGCACATTCATGTGTGAACAAGTTGAGTTTCATCAAACACCAAGTAGTGAGTAGATCAGCCGAGAAGTATAATACCTAATTAATTAACACTAGAAAGACCAAGGCAGTCAAATTGACCGCAAGGCAATTTAATTGTTAAATATTTCACGAACTATGTTTTTATTTCTTTTCATATTTTATGACTTTTCCTAATTAGCTATTCTTAGGCTATTTCTATATATTTTGAAAAAATAACTATATTTTGCATATGAGTTTCAATGACAAATACCTATTAAGACCGCGCACCGTCAATGTGACGGCATACATATAAAGACGGCGATAAGAATAGTGAACAACGATCTCTTTAAACTAAAGTGGGTACTTTTGTTTTTATTTATGTTGGATTGAATTCTGAGTAATTTGTTACTACCTAACTTGTTTATATTTTATAGTAGGAATTTTTTCCGTTCGGTGAGCAGTCGTCCGATTAGCCGAATACGTGGTTTTGAAACTAGTTCAACCCTATTTCAAAAAGGGCCGAAACGTAACCACTGACAACTTTTTCACGTCTCTACATTTAGCCGAATAACTATATTGGTCGAAAAGACTAGTATTGTTCCAACAATACGGCGTGCAAGACGAGAAGTACCACTGATTTGTAGAAGTATTCGTACTTCAAGATATGAAACTTTTATAATGAAAACCGGTACCGATACAACCCTTACTGTCTATCAAGGAAAACCAGGAAAAAATGTTATTATTTTGAGTACTCTGCACCCCAATGTAGGCATAGGTACTGATCAAAAAAAGTTACCTGAAACAGTTGAATTTTACAATGCAACAAAATTTGGCGTAGACATCATCGATCAAATGGCACGCAAGTACACCGTAAGAGCTGGTAGTCGGAGATGGCCTGTTCACGTATTTTATAATATACTTGATTTAGCAGCTATAAACTCGTGGATTCTATACCAAAAAGTCTCAAACATAAAAATTTCTCGTCATGATTTTATCCTTCAACTAGTTAGCGAACTACGTGAAGAGTATGTGAAAAAAAATCCACTTCAACTATGACCCACGAACAAGAAACTGATTCTGACACAAATGAACCACTTACAACAAACAATAAGAGGCGGCAATGGCAAATCAATAGTAATTGCAAAAAGTATAAAACATGCGAAAATTGCACTATCTGTAAAAAACTTGTTTGTGGAAAATGTACAAAAGAGTCTAAAAATCTATTACTTGCTACAAATGTTACTCAATACTCAGCTTAATGCATTTTTTTATTATTAATAAAACAATAAATTTATATTGATTTTATTTTATTTTAATGCAAAATATGCAATAATTTCTAAAGTTTTCTGACTTAATCTCTAGTACCGTCATATTGACCGCTGCGGTCTTTGAAGGTATAACACGAAGCCCGGCCCTTCTAGTGTTAATAAAATAATAAATTCATATAATCTACAAATTAAACCACAATAACAACAAAAAATTATAATTTTGATACAAATATCACACATACCTGTTTACCATGATTTTTTAAACATTTATATGTTTTTTTAATTTTTAAGCAGTATAATGAGCAAGATGGTCTACCTCAGTACTTCTGCTATGAATGTGCCACCATTCTACACAAGTTCCATAGATTTAAGGAGAAATGTTTCAGCGGGCAGAAGGCTCTTCGAGAATTGGCTTGGAGAGGTCCTGTAAGTATGAGTTTAATTGGTTAAACGATAGTGTAATTGGTGTTTTAAATAAGCATTGTTTTTTTAATATCGTCTCTATGTCTCATTAGGATAAGCAGAAGAATGCCTATAATTAAAGCTTCATTGTTTCTCCCGCTTTGCATGGTGTAGCGAGCATATTCATCGTAGCATGAAATTTGTGATCCTAACATTAGTATTATTTTACTTTCAGATAACCTATGAATTAATATACAAAATGGATTGCCCAATATCTTTGCACACTACGCCTGTAACGTTAACCAACTTCCCAAGCCATATCAAGAATTATATACCGAAAAATAGCATAGAAGAACCGAATGATATTTTCGACCCAGAAAAAGTGGAAAAGATAGAAAATATAGAATTAGACTATTTTAGCGAAACATCAATACCAGGGGATACAGAACCTATATTAGAATTTGATACCTTTCCCGAACAATTTGAAGAAGAGAAAATAAAAGCTGATAGCAACGAATTGACATATGGTTTCAACGGAGATGAAGACAATTTAGTGAATATTAAATGTGAGATGATTAAAGAAAAGAAAAGTAAAAAGAAGTCTAAAGGTTTAGGTAATAAGGTTTTAAATAGTAGGCATTGGAGGAAGATTACGTTGAATGAGGAGGAAGCTTTGAAGAATTTCAGAGCGAGGGCTGAAGACAAGAAGTATGTAGATGCTGCATATAAGTGCTCGGATTGTTTTCGAGGTTTTTCCAAAAAGGATATGTTGGATAGACATCTGCAGTTACGGCATTTTGAGGTTTGTTGACATATTAAATTTCTTAAAAGACAACCTTAATTCCACCTAATACAACTACTTTTTGTGATACCAGTTCTATTATAATCCACTGTGTGTGATCTGGTGATGATAAGGTGATTCAGCCAGTCCTATCTTGACCATACGACATCTTAAGGGGCGGCGCTCACTGCCGGCATGACACGACAGATTGTGAAGTGGCATTCCGAAGCATTCAGCTGATAGCCCAGCTACCTTACCATGATCTCTGCTGATCATGATCGCTGCACAAATAACAACCTTATTTCAACTACTATAGCAATAGTAATTCCTAAAAACGAATCTGTGGAATGAATGCGGGGCTCGTTGCGGCATGAACTCTAAAGTCATTGAAACAAACTAAATAATTAATTAAATTCTTTGGCTGACCTATTTAAACACTGTTTGATGTTACCATGTTTTTATCATCGAAAAAGTAACTTAAGCTACATAATTTTTAAGCACATTTTTCTCCAAACAGATGCTGCGTCCACTTGAGTGTCGTTTCTGTCGAGTGCGGTTCAAGTTAAAATGTTACTTACGAAAACATCTAAGGGAGCATTATGTCAAGTATGAGTGTTTGCGGTGCCATGTCATCTGTCCTTTAGAGTGAGTATAGTTTTATCTACTTCATTGATTTGTAGTAAGGGCCATAAATTACGTCATAAGTTAAGGGGGGGGGGGGTCGACAGTGTGACATTGTGTTACGAGGGGGAGGGGGCGATCCAAAACTATGTGATGACACATTTCAAAAACTATTATAATCTGCGTTAAAATACGAAATATAATCGTACTAATGTTTTTTATTTTTTTTTTATTTTATTGTTTGATTTGACATACATATTTTTTTATAGTAATTTAAGTGGAAACAAAAATAACAATAGTTTCTATACTGTAATTCTGCAAAATGTGACGTCACACTAGGGGGGGGGGTAGTCTCACAAATGTGACTAGTTGTGACAAGGACGGGGGGGGGGGGGGGGGGGCAAAAATCATGAAATTTGTATGACGTAATTTATGGATGACCCCTAGCAATGTAGCACGTGATTTCTAAGATAACTTAATGATAAGGCAGGGAGTAGGGCTACGCGAAACTGACGGTGCAAATACATGTAAAAGCGTGGGAGAGCCACATTTCTGTACGAATGGGCCGGCGCGACCGTAGTGATACCACGGCCTCACAGAAAACCGAAGTAAAATAACGCTTGCATTGTTGTGTGAGTGAGGTTTCCAAAGGCCCAGTTCCTCCCCTCCCCAATCCTCATATGCCGAATCCCCTTGCTGGCAACGCACTTGTAAACTCCTCAGGTGTTGCGGATGTCCATTAGCAGCACCTATTGCTTACCATCAGGTGATCCGTCTGCTCGTTTACCACTTTATTACGTCACCATACATATTTTCAGCACAGAATCACTTTCCTTTTATACAGTAACTAGCTTTCACCCGCGGCTTCGCTCGCGTCACAAAAGGATAAAAAGTAGCCTATGTGACATATATCAATACACACAGCGCCATCTATACCAATACTTTTGTTTCCCTCGGGAATATCAAATTATTCCGGGATAAAAAGTACCTATTATTTAATCCAGACTTCTAACTTTACGTCTGCAAAAATTCAAAGCAATTGGTTTAAAAGTTACGGCGTCAAAGCGAAACAAACAAACAAACTCACTTTCCGATTTATAATATTAGTAAGGATTATTGTTACCTTGTGTTGTTTCAGACATACAGCTATACTTCATAATGAGTATCATAGTGGGCTGAAGAGGAAGTGCGAATACTGTGATCAAGAATTCAGGTAAGACAGTTTTAAAAATATAATTGGGTACTTGCTTTAAACAAAAATAAATTATTTAGACTATTCAATACAATAACATAACATAACATCACGCCTTTTATCCCCGACGGGGTAGGCAGAGGTGCACTATGCCACTGTATAATGTAACATCCACTTTTCACTATTTATGTTATGAGTCCCATGTAATAGGGGGTGAGCCTATTGCCATATACTGGGCACATATATCAGTTCTTCCCATCCATGCATGAGCGGCTGGAGAGGACATGGTTGGAGGTGGATCACTGTGTTGCCCAGTTCCTTACTGGCCACGGCAACTTTAAAAGCAAATTGTTCTCATTTAAACTTATTGATTCACCATGGTGCCAATGTTCGACAGCGGAGTTGCAATACGAGCAGTCGGCCCATCACATACTCTGGGAGTGTGATCTCTGGCAATATGAACGTAACACTATGTTGAATAATTTAATTGTTTCGTCAGGTGTAGCTTATTATACGGACCTTGTGGAATCTAGAACAAATTTCCGTGCGTTTAGGCGCTTTTGCCATACCTATTATTGGAACCAAGTATAACAGCTCACACATAGGACCCACTTAGTTTTTTTGTCAAATTTCCGTGGTGCTTGGCGACTGGGCTTCACCCAGTTGTACAGTCTCTTCTTTGTGCCTTTAGGCTTAATTCATTCTGTCTCCTGCAGTAATTCACCGAGGGAAGTGGAAACTACAGTTTTTCTTCTTCTCCTCTTATAATATCTTCTGATTCACTTCGTTGCGGGAACCAAGACAGTTACTCATGTCCCTGGGACGCGCCGGACTTCAATGTTCCGGTGTTTTCATGGTTGTATCTACTGTAGATCCTGGCTTACAGGAGTTGCAGCGGTTTTGGGAGGTTGTGGCGGGCTTGTCCCTTAAAAAAAAAAAAATACTGGGCACAATTCCAGACTCCGTGCTACTACTGAGATTTTTTAAAAACCCAGTAATATTTTGCCCGACCCGGGAATCGAACCCGAGACCCCTTGTCTGGCAGTCGCACTTGCGACCACTTGGCCAACGAGTATTCAATACAATAATAAAAAAATAATCACACTTTCATTGATTTTGTGACTAACTTAATTTAAGTAGTTTTCCAGCATATTCTTAACAAATAAGTACGCTGTTTGACGTTAAGAAAACGTGATGTCACAATACACAATCCCATACTAAATTTAAAAAAAAACTGTCATTTTTGTCAGTTCGAAAAAAGTATTGAATTTACCTAGTTGGCAAGTACCCAATTGCCTAGCGAGAATACCCGCGCGATTTCACTCGCTGCTCGATTCCTATTAATCGTAACGTAACATTTCATAACCCACAGCCTTCCTCGATTAATGGACTACCTAACTCAAAAATAATTATTCAATTAGAACCAGTATTAGTTTCGGAGATTATCGCGTTAAATACACAATTATAATGGAGAATATTAACGTGTAACTATGAAGCCCTCGGTCTTCCGAATTGATCTGTACACTTGGTTTTGTCGTACAATCAAAATTGGTCGAAATATAGCGTCTAAAATTTTAATGACTTGCAGTTTTCATACAAACGTGGTGCTGTGACGTCATAGCACAACGTCCCCTATATAGTATTTTTTTTAACATAGTCAATGGTAGGTAATGGCCATTACGGAGCCGCGGAAGGCTTAACGGGTTGCCGGGGCCGGTTTGAAGTGCAGGAGTAGGAACAGGGTGGTTTTTGGTCAGTAAGAGTCTGACAATCCCTCTCGCCTAACCCAGGGCGGGAGAAGTCATTGGATGATTTCCCCCCCTCAATAAAAAGCTATTAATTATTAATAAAGCTATTTGAAACACAAATTCGTAGGTACTTTCTTAATTTTACGTTACAGTAACATTATCCATTATTATAATTCCAGGCACACATCAACGTACTACACGCATTTACGTACGCACCGTAGCGAGCACGTGTGTACTCTGTGCGGAGAGTCATTCGTTAGCCACGCCGGGCTACATCAACATAAGCGAGTCAAACACGTCATTGATAAACTTGTGAGTATTGCATACTGGACCTTATACCCTCGTGTGTTATAGCTCATTTTACATCAACATAGTAACTCTGTGCTGCACGATACCAACATAAACGAGGCATGTCATTGTTAAACTTGTGAGTATTGCATACTGGACCTTATAATCGCCTTTGTTACGAATCATTTTACATCAACTTGTATACACACTGCTAGTCAAACATGTCATTGATAAACTTGTAAGTATCGCATACTGGACCTTATACTCACTCGTGTTACGGCTCATTTTACATCAACATAGTATACGCACCATTGTTGATGGTTTAATCACATATTGTAAACTGATTATGAGCCCGATGTAACTATGGAAACTTGTCGAGTATCCTTGAATAGTCGACATTTGAGAAAAATAACAAAGTTTTGATTCTTGGGTCAAGCAACAGATTTCTTTAGGTTCTAAAAAACCCAGTTAGAAAATTTGAATTAACAACTCCGCCTACCTCCTAGGTGGTTCAAACTAAAACGTACTCTATGCACAAGTGTCTAAAGTCCATTCTCCCTTGACAGGACAGTCCGGGTGACGATGAAGAAGTAGAAACATATTGTATGCGATGTGATATTACGTTTGAAACGCGGAAGGCTTTTGAGGAACATGTGTTTCATTCTGCTCTACATAGTGACGGGGAGAGGTAAGCAGAATTGTGTACTTGCTAACTAGTCAAATACAATACTTTTTTCGAACTGGATTTTTGAATTGAAAAACCAGTTCGAAAAAAGTTTGAATTTAAGGTTACTTACCTTAAATGTGTGTGTTGCCGGTGATGACGTATTTTACCGAGACGTGGTCCCTGACCTCTGGCCTTCTGGAGAAGCTCAAAGTCGCTCAGCGTGCGATGGAGAGAGCTATGCTCGTGGTTTCTTTGCGCGACAAAATCCGAAATATGGAAATTCGCCAAAGAACTAGAGTTACTGACATAGCTCGCAAAATCTGCAGACTGAAGTGGTAATGGGCAGGCCACGTCTCTCGAAGGACTGACGGCAGATAGGCCAGGAAAGTCCTTGAGTGGAAACCACGGACCGGAATATGAAGCGTGGGCAGGCCTACCGCTAGGTGGACCGACGACATCGCCAGAGTTGCGGGGAGCCAGTGGATGCGGGTGGCGAGTTGTCGTTCGACGTGGAGGGCTAAGGGGGAGGCCTTTGTCCAGCAGTGGACGTCTTCCGGCTGTTGATGATGATTGATAAAGTACCCAATTAGAAGTTACTTGGAACTAATCTACACTTGCGAGCAAATAAACGGCTAGCTAGCGTTTTTTCTTTATCATTTCCTGATAAATATTTTCTAATACCAGTATTAAGTTATAGACGGTTCGATAAATTGAACTGAACTGACTGCCTCGTTGGCCGAGTGGTCGCCCATATAATACATTATTTATTCTAAATCCAAGATGGCCGCCTATTCAAAATGGCGGACTAATATTTTATCTGCAACTACGTGCATATGGACATCAAATGAAAAGAGTTGATTGGTAGAATAGAGCTCATTCGAAACGTTTAAATATTTTTTTTATATATAACTAGCTTTTACCCGCGGCTTCGCTCGCGTCACAAAAGGATAAAGAGTAACCAATGTGACATATACCAATACATACAGCGCCATCTATACCAATACTTTTGTTTTCCCTCGGAAATATCTAATTTTTTTGGGATAAAAAGTACCCTATTGCCAGTGGCGTGCACAGATTTTCGAGACAGGGTAGGCAACTAAATATCGTATGATTAAAGCCCTCCCCCCTGGTCATACAATCATACTCCCACAAGACAGGTACATGTACAGAATACATTTTGAAAAGTGCGTTCAATAATATTGTGGTTTATTCTTTCGCCAAATTACATACACTGACATCTCGCGTATTTTTTGTAAAGTACTTCATCAGCTATCGAATAAGCCAACAAAACTTACAAATAATGAAGCATCTATTTATTATACTAATAATGAATCATAAATTTGATGAACCAAATTCAATTATCAAATTGCTAAATAATCTATTTAAAATCATAATTACGAATTTAAGAACGTAGATACCTACCAACAAACAAAACAACAACAAGCGCGGCCGGCTGTGGCCGAGCCGAGTATAAGCGGTACATTTGTTATTACATTACATAATTATTAATAATAAATTAATATGTAGGTAAATCAAAACAACCCGAGGTATAAGTTGATATTTTTAAGAATTATCAATCAATAAACAAGAACATCATATAAAAGATCCATTATAGTACCTACATATTTACATTACCTACCTTTGACTTGGGTCAATTCTCGTAACTTGAGTTCTGCCTATGGTCATTACCTGAATCTAGTCGTTATAGGACACATTTTTGCGAAAACTTACTGTTTTTAACTTTAAACAAACACAAAAATTACCTATTATCAACACAAACTTCACAATCGAATAATATACTAGACATTGATAAACAAATACACTATTTGAAAAACCGACACATATATTTTAATACTTCTACACATATTTATGCAACTTTATGTTTAAAACTAATTCCTTATAATTTAAACGAAAACATAAACAAAGCGATCGCACATCTCATGAAAACAATATGGCCGAAAACATTTTAAAGTCATTACCCATCGTAGTCAATTGAGTGTTTATTATAAAAAAATTATAGCTAAAACATTAAAGCAACCCAGTGTTTAATTATAAAAAAACAAAACGTTAATTTACATAAGTCAAATGGAATTGCATCATCGTCTTATTATTATTTTCCAATAAGAAACATTCGTTGATAATAATTTGAAACTTTGAGTAGCGGCAACTTGACGTTTCGATAACTTCCTTTTAACTTTTAAAATAATAAAGTCAACTCCTCGTTTAAAGTTTCTATAAAGCGACAACGCGTAAAAATGTTAAGATTTAATTAAAACACCTGAAACTTATTTTTTTAGTATGCATAATTATAAAAAGACATTCGCATTATATTTATTCAGAAGTTTTAACAAAAAATTCAATAGATGGCGCAGATTCACAAATTTAAAGTCCGGCTAGATTGAATCGTGTAATAATTTTTTGCGTTTATGAATGGTTATTCTGTGCTGTGACCATAGTCACGTGACCTTCACGCATGCGCGTTGCATACTTTTTGTGACGTCACAACCAACAACCAAGATTTAAGGAATAGCAGCGCATGCGTAGTGCGTGCGGCGCGCATTCATTGCTTTACAAAGGCGTGCGGTCCGTGTATAGTATATGTGAATGTATATTTATGTTAGCCGTTTTTTTACAAACTTTTATTATATTATTGAATCTTAATAAACGCGTTAGTACATTTTATGTCAAGCAAAGCCTATTTGCCTATATGGACTGCACGCCACTGCCTATTGCAGTGCCGTAACTAGCCTTCTAGGCGCCCGGTGCGAGCTTTCAAAACTGTGCCCTTGAAAAATGTCCTTACCAGGTTCTGACAATAAAATGGACAAATGTGCATGAAAATATAACTGTTTATTGTTTACCAAGTTATAGGTCGGTACTTAGGTACTCTCAACAACTGTAGCAACCGCTGTCGCCATTAAGTAGGCCGCCGCCTGGTGTGACCTCCCGTGCGCTAGCACCAGTTTGTCGTCGGCGTAGCATGTGATGCTAACGCCGTTCGGGAGGTCATTGCGCAGCACCTAGTCATAGCCTATGTTCCACAGGAGCGGCCCCAGAACCGAACCTTGTGGAACACCTCTGTGACATCTCTCGCCGGTTCCACTCGCCCCGGTGACCGGGGTAAATGACGGACCTGTCCGTCAGGTGAGCCTCGATTACACGACGGAGGTAGGTAGGCACCCGATGATATCGGAGTGCCTCCAAGATGCAGCTCCAGGACAGGGAGTTGAAGGCGTTGGCGATGTCCAGAAACACCGCCACAACGACCTTGCCCCTGGACACTGCAGTCCCCGTCGTCCGGTCCCTAACGCGCATGATGGCGTCCACCGTGGAGCGCCCTCTGCGGAAGCCGAACTGGCCGTCCGACAGGTGCGCGACGAGGCGGTTCGAAATTATTCTTCTTATACGCGGACGGAGAGTCCGCAGGGCGCCCCGTCTTCCGCACGAGGACCAGTTTGCCCGCTTTCCAGAGCAGCGGGAACTGGCCTCTCTCCAAGCATGCGCTGTAGAGACCGATTAATCGAGGCCCGAGAGCCTCTGACGCCAGGACCCATGCTTTGCCATGCAAGCCGTCGTGTCCTGGAGCGGTGTTCTTGGCGCCCACCCGGCGCACCGCCGCTCTCAGTTCTGCCTCGGTCACCTCTGAGACGATATCGTCGTCGTCGTCGCTATAGCCCGCGTTGGGCACCGCAGGGGTCATATACGGAGGGGTGAAGCCCCTCCACAGTCGGGGGAACAGGGCGTCAATCACCTCCTCTAAGACTTCTGGCCGGAGACTCTGAGTGACCGGGGGAGCCCAAGCGCGGAGCTTGTCGCGTACCGTCCGGTACGGGCGTCCCCACGGGTCTCTGTTCAGAGTCGCCAACATCTCTCGGCGGGCCTCCTCCTTGGCCCACAGTATTTCCGCCTTGAGGACTGCCTTCGCCGCCCTGTATCCCTCGTACAACTCCGCCTCTCTCGCCTCCGCATTCGGAGGACGGATGCGGCGCCTGCTGTGCCTAGTGTACTGGCGTCACGCAGCCATGCACGCCTTGCGTAGAGGGCCTGTCTGACCGGCGGGTCCGCGGACTCGGCGGAGACGTCGAACCGGATGTACCGCTGGTCGGAGTACGTCTCCACCTCCTCCATGACGTAATTACTACAGTCGCGGTCCTAGGGGCGAGGAGCATGGCAGCTGCCCGTTTCTCCCTGCGCTAATGCTGCCGTCGCTGCTGCTGCGCCTTCTTGCGGCGCTTACGGCCCTACTTGGCGACTCTCCTCGCCTCACCAGCGATTTGCCACCCACCGCCGTCCTCCGATCGCGGGCCGGGTTCCACCGCCGCTGCTGCAACTCCAGCCTACCGGGATGGAGTGCCTCTCCTATTTTTGTTTCGCCGCGCAGGCGCCGCAGGCACAGACGCCCAAAGTTATAGTATAGGTACTTTTGTTTGTGTATGTAATATTGCGAGCAAGACTTAAGGTGGATATACATTTGTCTGATGTGTAGTCGTTTGACATGAGTTGTTGTTTCAAGATCGTTTAAAAATGCGATGCAGATAGTAGTCTGGTCATTTCTGCGCCCCTCCAGGGTCTGCGCCCTGTGCCTGGGCACCGCTGGCACCGCCCTATTTACGGCGCTGCCCTATTGTTTAATCCAGACTACTAACTTTACGTCTGCAAACATTCAATGCGATCGGTTTAATAGTTACGGCGTGAAGTCGGAACAAACAAACAAATAAACGAAACTCACTTTCAGATTTATAATATTATAGTAAGGATGTTTCTTTGTTTCAGTAACTTGGATCAAGGGAATAATAGAAAGATATTAGGTAAAAAGGAACAGGCAAAAGTGAGTATCTAACGTCATAAGTACTTCTTTGTGTTCTTCTACGTTTTAAAAGTTATTATTATGTTTTCGGCTTACACACGTAACTGTTTGACGAGGAACTTGACTAGTTTCAAGCCAAGTCGTGACCCACGACGCGGCGACTGTCACGCTCCTTTGCTACGTCGCTGTCGAGTTCCTAGACAAACAGTTGCGTGAGTAAGCCGAAAATATAATAATTAATTTAGTATGTGTCACGAAAGGTTTTTAAAAACATAAGTTATTTTTTTAAGACTGCCTCTTTGGCCTAGTCGTCGCGAGTGCGCATAGGCATAGGCAAGGGGGTTCGATTCCCGGGTCGTAAGTGCGACTGCCGGGCAAGGGGTCTCGGATTCGATTCCCGGGTCGGCCAAAGTATTACTGGGTTTTTAAATATTCTCAGTAGTCGCACGGAGTTTGGAATTGTACCCGGTATTTATGGCAATAGGCTCACCCACTATTACACGGGACTCATAACATAAATAGTGAAAAGTGGGTGTTACATTGTACAGTGGTATAATGCGCACCTCTGCCTACCCTTTCGGAGATAAAAGGCGTGATGTTATGTAATTTTTTTTTAGGGTAGTAATAAAAGCTCCGACAAGAAAAGAAGAACAGTCCTTACTGAAAATATTAAATCTACTGCCTAAAATACTAACTTTCCGACTACTTTACATGACTGTTTATTGCTACAATACTAACCTTACCTAACTTCTGTTGTCGGTAACTTAGTAATTTTGTCGGAGGTTCAATATTCTATTCGGAAGTTTAGTTTTGTTATTCGAAGATCTATTTTTCTAGTCGGCCACAGATCGCTGGAGATTAATTTGGTTTTCGGAACCATTATTATTTTCCTTTTTTTATATTTTTTATTTTTTAATATACATAACTTCTTTTTTTTACTAAAACATTTAACTAACATTTCTCTACTTTTTACAGATAACGAAATGTTTAAGAAAAAGGTATGTTTGCAATCGTTTTTGAGTTATTATGGGTTTTATCTCTGACCATGTTTGATGATAGAAAAGACATGTTTTGAAAAGAATAACGATGGTATTTCTTCCTCGTTCTTCTCCATTCGAAACTATACTTTGGAACGGGCACCTAACTTCACTGACAGACAAACTGACTGACGGACCAAAAGTACCGACCTAATAATGGATTAATTGAAATAAATGCTTTGACTTTGATCTTGACAAATCATGGTGATGACGATGATTACATTGCACCATGAAAGTAAGGAAATAGTAGAGAAAGAAAGAAAGAATATGGCAATAGGCTCACCCCCTATTACATGGGACTCATAACATAAATAGTGAAAAGTGGGTGTTACTTCTGTGTGCACCTCTGTCTACCCCTTCGGGGATAAAAGGCGTGATGTTATGATGTTATATTAGAAAGAAAGAAAAATAATTTATTCGTCATAAGACATAACATACCAATTATACAAACATAAAATAATAACGTTATGGGTATAATAGTAATGGGTTGTGCCACGCGTTTGTATGTAAGGTATAAAGATGATATTTAACCAAAGTTTGCTCACAGGGACACAGACTCAAGTATGTTAATAACGGAACAAAAGACTAAAACTAAAAGAAGAAAACACAGAAGGGAACATAGGAAACCTACGACTTGTCATCAGGTAATAGAAAATTCAACAAATATGTTTCTTAAGGGATAAGCCGGTAAACAAACAGACGTATCACCTGATGGTAAGCAATTGGGTTGATGACAGGGTATGAAAATTTAAAATATAATTAATCCGTCAGTTAGGTAATGAAAATATATTAGACACGTATTTTTTTATTTTGTCGTTTAATAAAACAATACTTGGATAAAACGAATCAAAGTTTAGGAGTGGGGGCTAAAACGTCATTTCTACGTATAAAATGTACATGACGTCACGCGACATTTCAAATTAATATATCGTCGAAAGTATTCGTTTCGTAAGAAAATAAAAAATATGCGTCTAATGATTTAAGATGATCTACCAGACGGGCATTAAAATATAAATTAGGTATCTACCCTATTGCCGCCGCCCATGGATATCCGCAACATAAATAAAGTTACAAGTGCATTGCTAGCCTTTTGGGGATTTGAGATTTGAGGATTGGGGAGATTGAAGAGGGGGGTAATTGGGCCTTCAGTAACCTCACACACGACGGAACACAACGCAAGCGTTGTTTCAAGTCGACCTCCTGTGAGGCCGTGGTTTCATTCCGGTCGAGCTGGTCCGTTCCTGCCGACAGAGCTTTCCTATACTAAACTTTGTATTATCAGTATTATCACACACTTAAAATAAGATTTGGAATATATTTCAATTGTTTTTCAGTGCGGCAAACACTTCGAGACCCAATCAGCTTGCTTGAAGCACCATCTATCGGAACATCCGCGCACTTCATTCTTCCCGCCCAACCAGAGATACATCTGTGAGATCTGTGGCTCTTCTCTAGCTGTAAGTACTTACTTCCCGTGAGATTTCTACCTTTTTTAACCGAGAATAATGAAATCTCGGTCGAAAATTAGGCGAGATCTCGCGAGATTACCAGTGCCCTTAGCCTAACGCCACTTTAGCGCTTGTCTACAGAGAGAGTAGAAATCAAAATGTATGGGGATAACACTGACAAGTGTCAAAATTTACGTCAATTCTATATAATTTGGTTTTCTATTCTACATTGGAACAGCAGCTGCAGGATTGCTTTGCTAAAAGATTTATGTTTTACCTATTTGTATAATACCAACCGTGAGGCAGCTAAATTAATTAAAAATACCGGTTTACTCACATAACTAATATTAAGAAAAATCTCATGAAGATGAGTCCCTCCGTGACTCGAAACTAGTAGAGCTTTTCTTGATATTTACGTGAGAACACCGGTATTTTCAATTGATTTAGATATTTAGATTATTTGGATCGCTGGTTGTTTCACCATCAAACGAACACAAATTTTCGCATTTGTAATAAATATTACTAAGACTGTTTACTTCCTCAGCCGGGCAGTATACAGACACATAAGAACATGCACTCTAGAGAGAAGGTCCATAGATGTGACACGTGTGGACGGGAGTTCCACGCCGCTGTGGGGTTGAAGCGACATCTGTTGGTAAGTGCTCACTAGATGGCGCTGTCTTTCTGCGTAAATTTTTTTCCCCCATTTAAACCTTCCCTGGACTTCCACGAATATTTCAAGACCAAAATTAGCGAAATCGGTTCAGCTGTTATCGAGTTTTACCGAGACTAACGAATGGCAATTCATTTTTATTCATATATAGATATAGATAGGTAATGTCCACTCTAGACGGGGGAAATTCGGAGTTATTATACAAATTAAAATTATATTTGTCAGTTATTTGAATCACTCTATCTATTAAAAAGATCCCCATCAAAATTAACGTTATGTAACTTGAAACTTAATCTGTTGTGTAACTTGAAAGATCTAGGTATAGACACATAAATGGCTCAAATCGACTTTGTATTATACTATATTTGTTAGTAAGTTTGGCAAAAAAGAGTTTGACACGGTGACAGCTGGAAGTGTGGGAGAGAGATGCTTCGGCACGAATGGGCCGGCTCGACCGGAGTGATACCACGCCCTCATAGAAAACCGACGCGAAACGACACTTGCGTTGTGTTTCGTCGTGTGAGTGAGGTTACCGGAGGCCCAATTACCCCCCTTCCTAGTCCCCGTCTCCCGAATCCCCGAATCCCCCACAATCCTCAAATTCTCAATTCCCAAAAGGCCGGTAACGCATTATATTGATTTGGACTGATTCGCCCACTTCGGATGAATAAACCAATTACGAACATAGTACCTCCTCTTTATAAACTCGATTTGAATAACAAATATCAAAACCGATTGACTCGTAGCGTACCAGGTTGTCATAACTCACGTGTGTGTGTAGTAATGTTAATATCTTTTCGTATTTTCCAGACGCACACAGGAGAAAAACCGTACTCATGTTCTTTATGCGACAAGCGTTTCACACAGAGTAACAGTATGAAGTTACATTACCGTACATTTCATCTAAAAGAGCCGTATCCGAAACGGTAAGTTTTATTTTTCTTTATCCCCTTATTAGTTCCGTCGTGGTGTCATAGATGGCAGTACTGTTTCTAAGGGTTGTGATTGAATTTTGCTATGTACGGAATGTTTTAAGGATATAATGAAGTTTTATTATTAAACGGTTTTATTTAGCTAATTACGTAGGCTGTAGCCGGAGGATGCAAAGGAAACCAAATTGTTTCTTAAAATATAACTTTAATTAATTAAAATTACAATAAGTAGGTGATAATTGGTCGATGTTGTACCAAGAATGACGCTCTTTACACGGGTTGAAATTAGATCGACAATTTATGCTGAGTTCGCGCCTCGTGTACGGAAAGTTGTCGCGATGCACAAAAGTTCCTCATTTACACCGTTGGGCCGTCTATTGCACCGTAGCGTAACACCTCCCCCCGAAGATCAGCAACTATTTCGAAATCTCGCGTGGAAGGGATGATGAAATATTGCTGTGGTCAATTATAATCTCGCTGGGATTAATCTTCCTTGATTGTTGGGATTCAGCACTCTCTCTAGAAGCTGCTAAATTATGACCTTCTAAAGACTGGTTCTTCTGAGAATGTTGTGATCGCTGCTGACGATACATCAGTGCAATAATGAGTGCACCTGCACCGAGTAGTATAAGGTAGACAGGAATAGTTGTATGGTACAGGCTCATATCGGTGACGTTGCTCAATTCTACTGGAGTTTCTAACATTATCTTCTTATTAATGGAGTGCAGATTTTCTAAGGCAATAGAGTTTAGTATGACTGGTGGCTCCCTTGACGCCGGTAGCTCATTAGATGTAGGCAGTTGTATGATTTCCAGAGCAAATCCCTTAATGTGGTTGTTGGAATTTGCTATAGTGAAATGTGGTGTCTTGATAAAGCAGTGATGTGGGATGACAGCCAGATAGCTTCCTTCTAGAGTTTTGTGGATTTCCTGCTTACAGACTATCTTCACCTTTGTGGGTCGTGGGAAATTTATGGTGTAATGCTTTTCATCTAGTTGTTCAACGGCTTCTTTCCTCAATTTGACTGTAGTAAGTTTGCATGATGGGAGAAGTTCCTGGTGGAGGATCAGGTGCTGGATGCAGTCCGGTTCATCTGGTCTTTCGTATCTTGTCTTAGTTTCGCAGAGGTACAAGGAATTTACCTTCGGGCATTCAGCCTCCATGTACGTAGAATCGTTTCCAGAAATTGCTATATACGGTAAGGTAGGTAGGAGGATTTGATTATTCTTATTAGGTATAGTGGATAGTTTATAGAAGTTGTAAATTTGAGGGAAGGCAATCGGCATCTTAAAGACTATAACTATTTGATTATCCATATAAAAGTATCCTAGCCTAATTATATCGTAGTAGTCCCTTAATTCTAAGTCAAGAATTTCATCATTCGAATATAAAATCCTTAATTTAACTAACATATTCTTAATTTCAGCTAAACTAACTACTGTATGTGGTGTGCTCGATGCACGTATAAAACCTAAGGTATATTCTAACTTATGAAGAGCTTCGAATAAGCTATCTATATTATCACTTAAAATAAGTAGATGTTGGGCCATATGGGCGAAATAAGTAAAGTCCGAGTCTTTATTTTTTATCATAGAATTTAAAACATCGCCTATCCGTTCCTGATTTTTGGTAATATTGGTTAATAAATCAGAGTTTTGCAACATCCAAGTTTTTGATAAACTCACATGCTGCTTTATTTGAACTTCTAATTTCTCTTCATTTTCATGTAGAGTTTTTATAGCAGTATTGTATTTAATTGCATCGGTTTGGTCTAAGTTACCGGATATGCTTTTGATTATAGAACCTAGTCCGTCTATAAGACCTCTTTTATTGCGGCCGTGTTGAAACGTCTTTAATTGCGAATATATTTTAGATAATTTAGTCGTAAGATAGTTTATATGTGGTTCGAATAAGAATGAAGTTTTATTATTTAGTCTAGGACGAACTTCGGAAAGCTTTAAACTAATTGAATCAACTTGATACTGAATTTTATCTAGATTAACGTAACTAAGAAAGGAGTGGTAGTGGGACACCATTCGGGTAGTTCCTAAATTAAAGGGGAGTATACCAGGGCCGTTTTCTAAAGAGTCAATCGTTACTTCTTGTCCTTGCGTCGTCTGGAATAGTGTACTAGGAGGAGTAGCATCCTGTAACAATATAGGTTCTTTAGGGCTCCTCTTAATGCGAGACTTTGCAACAGCACCACGCTTCTTTTTGGTATATATGTGTATAGGAAGGTCAGCTAAGACTGTATCATGAGTAAAACGCGGAGCTAACTTTTGTCTACTGGCCAGGGGATTGCGAATGAATACTTGTTGATCAGGATGGTATTCCTTTTCAGGTTCGCGATTTTTATTTCTGTTTTCAGTTAATTCAATCCGGTGAGATTGTGAAGCTTCATTTATCGTTTCATAAACTTGAATTAAACGTTTCTTATGGTTCTCTAAGTATTGTTGTAATAAGTGTTCGGATAAATTGACATCAAGAGGATCGCGGGGATCAAAATGTCCTGTGATCAAATCTATGGGCCTACATTTGGTAAAACTGTGAATGGAACTGTTATAACCTAGAATTGCGTAAGGCATGAGATGTTCTACGGGTTCATTACGCTTTTCTATTTTAAGGATCCTAAGATGTTCAAGAATCGTGGAGTGAAACCGTTCTATCATTCCGTTATCGTTAGGAGTATGTGCAAGTATTTTATGATGCTGTATCTTATGTAGGCGAATAAATTCCGAGAAAAGTGCATTGGTAAATTCTGGTCCTTGATCTGTAATGATAGTATATGGAACGCCATGATGGGTGCAAAATGTTAGAAGAGCTTGAATGACACTTATAGCTGTACCATCTCTGAGATGATATGCTTGCGCATATTTCGAGAAAGCATCAACTATGGTAAGGAATTTCTCATGTTCGGCTGTGAACAGATCGAGATGTACAGTTTCAAAGGGTTTGGTTGGAGGAGGAACTATAGAGAATTCTTGCCTGACGGGGTTTCGATCGTACTTTGCCTGCCCACACACTCTGCATTCATTAATAAATTTTGCGATACTTTCTTTCATCTTGGGCCAGTAGTAACGATGCGACAAGGTAAGATAACATTCTGTTATACCGCGGTGGTTAGTTTTTCCTTGATGATAATTGCGAATAATTTCCTGTTGTTTCATATAGTCTTTAACGTTTTCTGTTTCTTTCTTCGTCAAGACCATATTTAAAGCAGAACTTTTAAAATTACTTTGAATAATTGGAATAATATGATACATAGCTAGTGGTGGATGAATAATTAGTCCGGTTTTTACTTTAGGATTAACGTTTTCTTTAATGGCATTAATAACATCACTTTCAAGATTAGACTCAGATACCTGTATAGTGGTTTTAACGTGAGTGTCAAATGGTTTGGTTACAGTGGGGCGTTTTTTAATATCTCCAACAACTACTAGACATACTTGACGGTAGAATTTATTCAATGGTTCATCAGATATTGGGATTTCTAATATAGGATCTTCGGTACTAGTATGGGCTGTCAATGTGGTTGAACCAGTAAGAGAAGGTGGTTTCTCCGATGGGTAACTGTAATTGAACTAACATCCTCGTGATTTATTTCGATACGAGATAGAGCATCCGCGTTGGTGTTGAATTTACCCTGCTTGTAGATGATCGTGAAGTTATACTCACTTAATTTTAACCTCCAACGGGTAAGTCGAGAATTCGGTTCCTTTAAACTCATAACCCATTGCAATGGCTTATGATCCGTTACAATTTTGAATTTCCTTCCAAAAAGATAGGGGCGGAAGTATTTCGTCGCCCATACTATTGCTAATAGTTCCTTTTCAATCGTGCTATAGTTAATCTCACTACTATTTAGTGTGCGCGATGCGTACGATATGGGTTTGTCGCTACCTATTTGTCCTTGGGATAGAACAGCACCAATGGCCAGATTAGAAGCGTCAGTTGTTAGAATGAATTCCTTATTAAAGTCTGGGTATTGTAGGATAGGATCATTAGTTAAAAGGGTTTTGCACTTTTCAAAACAGCTGATATAACTTGGATCATTTAGACTAATCTTTGAACCTTTTTTGAGACACTGTGTCATTGGTTTTGTTATTCGGGCAAAGTCCGGGATAAATTTCCGATAATAGCCTAATAGACCTAAAAAGCGTTTAATTTCAGTAGCTGTTTTAGGTATCGGGAATTTTTGGATAGCCGAGATTTTATCAGGGTTGGGTTTGATCCCATCTTTGCTAATAATGTGTCCCAAATAGGCTGTTTCTAATTTCAAAAACTCTGATTTGTCCATTTGAATCTTGAAATTTGATTCCCTGAGTCTCTGAAAGACCTTTTCCAAATTTACCATATGTTCCTGGAGGGATACTGAAAATACTATGATATCATCTAAATATACTAAGCATATGACATTTTGAAGGTCCCTTAAGACATTGTCCATCACGCGTTGAAAGGTGGATGGTGAGTTTTTTAAGCCCATTGGCATACGGAGAAACTCAAAATGCCCATGTTCAACTGTAAACGCGGTTTTATGGATATCGTCTGGATTCATTTCAACTTGATAAAATCCGCTTGCGAGATCTAATGTAGTGAAGTATTGACAGTTGCCTAACTTATCTAATACGTCAGCAATATTGGGTATAGGATAACGATCGTCAATAGTTTTTTCATTTAATTTTCTGAAATCTATGACCAAGCGCCATTTTGTTTTTCCACTGGCGTCGGCTTTTTTGGGCACAACCCAGATGGGGGAACTCCAAGCAGATTGTGAAGGCTGTATAATATTTTGTTGTAACATTTTAGAGATTTGATCCTGAACTTCCTGCTTATGTACAAAAGGATATCGGTAACTTTTAGTGTAGATTGGTACTTCGTCCGTAGTTTTAATAGAATGTTTTACCTGATTTGTGAAAGATAATGGTTCACCATCTATATAGAATACGTCAGCGTATTTGGCACAAAGTGTCTCTAAGTTAGCCTTCTCCTCGGGATTTAAATGTTCTGTTCGTAATCGTGCTAATACTTCTTTAACACGGGAATCGTACTGTTCAGAATGCAAGCCTTGAATATTAAATATTTCTGCGCTAACGGGACGATCCATTGAGAAGATTACATCATGACGTGATGAGTTAGTAACTTCTATTATGCCTCTACTATCTTTAACGTTTGTAATGCAATTGCCTATTAAACAGTTTGAGATTCGTTGTTCAGGAATGAAAACTTCACCGTCTTGAGAATTTATAGGGACATTAATTAATTTAGATAAGTTAGCCGGTATTATGTCTTCGTATAGGTTGCTGTTGCGTGAATTATACATTAATAATGGATTACTAGAGTTCCGTGTAATTAGCAATTTATTTTTTAAGTCTATGGTAGATTCTAATTTTTCTAATAAGTCATAGCCAATCAATCCGTCGAAATATTCGTGAAACGCGTACACGGAGAGAGTAATATCACCCGACTCATTAAATTCTTTAAAACAGGGTATAGTGATGGAGTAGTCAGTTCTAGTAGTAGCGTGAATATTGGTGACTTCAAAAGGGTCGTAATTGTATGGTACGTGAGGAAAGAATTGTTGAGCGACAGCTGGACTGACGAACGACATATTTGCACCTGTATCGATTAATAATTTGAGCGGGGGATTTGAAATTTGAATATATGGTAACTGTCTCTGGGTATGTAAATTTATTTCTATTTTAATTTGTCTGATTTGGAGTCCTTCGGAAAATCCTCATTATCAGAAGGCTGAGTGCAAGGAACTTCTTCTATGGTGTACGTATCTTCAGTCTGTGGTTGCTCGCAACTAAATTCGTAAGAATTTTCGAAATAATCATAAGGATAATAATTATCGGTATTGTAAAAATCGTTGTAGTAATCATACTCGACCGGGCATGTAAAATCGTTATAATTTACCTGCTTTGTTTTAAAATAATTCGAAGGTGGTGGGTTACCAGCTCTCGACCAATCGTGGGTTGGACGCGGGGCGAATGGTTTTGCTACGTAGTGACTAACACCACTCATAGGTTGCGGTAAATTACTCCCGGAAGGCTTAGGGCCTGGCATTCTAAAGACATTCTGCGGTCCATTATTAGGTGGTGGCGCACTAAACATCTGTTGAGTCCGTGAGGGACCACGGTATTGAGGGGGTTGATTCCTCAACAATGGTTGTTGAGTCTGAGGCGTGAATAGTCGCGACGGTCCTGGTATATTAAAAGGCCTAGGAGGCGATAAGGTAAACGGGTGCGCTGAAGGCGGCGCCGTTTGCACGGGTGGCTTAAAACCATAAGAAAATCTCGGACTAACCTGATGCTGATACTGCAACTTCTTTTCAGGAGCACGTTCATTGCGCTGCTGTAAGTATAGCGTATTCATTTCATCATGTACATACTCAAGGGCTTTTTCAATAGTATCAGGCCGCATGCAACGAATACGAGAACCTAACGGGTCACGTAAGCCACGTAAGAACGACTGTAGTGTAAGTTTTTTATAAAGAGTGCGCTTTGATTCAATAGTAGTGGCTACCGTTTCATGCAGACTGATATAAGTCATAATGGTACTAAAAAGATTTTGGCATTGTTCATAAAATTCTTGGGGAGTTGCCGTACCTTGAGTTAAAAGGGCTAAGTCATTATACAAGGACGTTTCATCACGCTGATCGGCGAAATTATTTATTAAAGAACTTCTTATTCCTTCCCAGGAATCTGGAATCCCGTTCGTATTAATCAACCTCGCTGCCGACCCTACTACTTTATTTAAAATTCCATTTAATAATGCCAAATTAATTAATTCACGACCTGGCTCGTTCCTCATGTATTGATTTACCAGTTGATCACATAATTTTATAAAGCGAGTTAATACGTTCGAGTTACCGTCGAATTCCGGCACCAGTCGTAGGGCCTTGTAAATATGATCCACTGATTCAGCCATATTCGAAGCGTGAGAACTACTACTTTCACACGGGTATGCTTCTAAATTTCTGTTAGCGTCTAAAATATTAATTCTATTACTATTACTATCTAACCTAGATAACCGAGATTGCCTTGGATGGAAAATCTTGGATAATTAGGGAAACACTTAAGGATAAAATGGAAAGCGACTCTAGAACGATTCTAGCGTACTTACTTGCACAAAATGGTACCTCTACTGTATCGATGTCTGGATACCCCTCGTGGCTGCAGCTCTCCCAGATTCGGATACTCGTGCGGTGCTTGATAACCACCCGGGTGGCTCGCGACTTTGAGGACTATTAGCGATCCTAGCAATTTACTCTCGCGAACCGGCCCGCGAGTATCCTACCGACTGCGCCAATTACGTAGGCTGTAGCCGGAGGATGCAAAGGAAACCAAATTGTTTCTTAAAATATAACTTTAATTAATTAAAATTACAATAAGTAGGTGATAATTGGTCGATGTTGTACCAAGAATGACGCTCTTTACACGGGTTGAAATTAGATCGACAATTTATGCTGAGTTCGCGCCTCGTGTACGGAAAGTTGTCGCGATGCACAAAAGTTCCTCATTTACACCGTTGGGCCGTCTATTGCACCGTAGCGTAACAAGCTTTCCTTGTTTGTTTGTTTGCGTGAAATTCAGTATTTAGAATTTTACCACCTTCCTAAAGACGGATCGATCTTATATTTCGTGCACACTCATAATGTAATTTATCCACAAATACCTCCATTATGGATATCAAATGAAAGGGTAGAATAGAGCTCATTGAAACCATTTAAAATAAAAACATATTTATATGTATTACTTCTTATTTGCGACTACCTCGTTGGTCGAGTGGTCGCAAGTGCGACTGTCGTGCGTCGTCTCGGGTTCGGTTCCTGGATCTGGCAAAACATTAGTGGGTATTTTTTTTAAAAATCGGTAGTAGCACGGAGTCTGGAATTGTGCCCGGTATATGGCAATAGGCTCACCCTCTATTACATGGGACTCGTAATATAAATAGTGAAGAGTGGGTGTTACGTTGTACAGTTGGCATTAAGTGCCGCACCTCTGCCTACGCCTTCGGGGATCGTTATGAACTTGTTATTTTTTTACAGAGTTCGAAGAAAAGGCAAGGAATTACCGAAATCAGTGGGACAAGGTGAATCAACTAGTGAAGAGGACTCAGACAGCAGTCTACCGGACATTGAGTCTAATATACTCAAGCCCGACGCGGGAATCAAACCAGTGACCGGCACTATACTGGACAAACCTTCCGATGACAGCATTCATTATTTGACACTTACGTAATTTTATTATTAACAGATTTTATAAAGGGACTCATGGGTGTGGCAGAAGAAGCATGAAAGCAGGATTAATGCGGTGGAAATGAGAGCCCTGAGAAGTATGTGTGGACTAAAATTGAGTGATCGAGTGAAAAATTGTGTTATTAGAGAGATATGTGGATTGAAAGATGATGTAGTGACAAGGATTGAAAAGGGAATGTTACGGTGGTTTAGACATGAAGAAAGGATGGATGAAAGTAGAGTAATGAAAGAAGTATACAGAGCGGATATGAATGGGGCCGTCAGTAGAGGACGCCCTAGACGGACATATAGTGTCGCGGAGACCCTAACCGGTTACCGGGGCTTCGGCTCGACGTGCAGGAGAAGAAACGGGGTGGTTTTTAGTCAGAAAGAGTCTGACACTCCCTCCCACCTCACCCAGGCGGGAGCAGTTATTCGATGATTTTCGCCCCTTAAAAAAAAAGACGGACATATACTGACCAGATTGGCGATATATTAAAGAAGGGCCAAATTAAAAGTACCTGAGCATGCATGAAAAGATTGATGACTGTTGATGAATCGAAAGAAGTATGTAGGAATCGTAGTAATTGGCGTTCCCTAGTCTCTGTCTACCCCCATGGGAGACAGGCGTGAAGTTATGTATGTTAAAAAGTTCTCAATTTGATCTGTATGTATGTTTGTCCACGATTATCTCGCGACTGGCTGCACCGATTTTGATGCGGTTTTTTAGTTTTATAACTTTGACTGATTTTTGTATGGTAGACTGTGTGTCGTGGTTTGGATTCGATTCTCGTAAATGTGTGTATTTTACTTACGTAAAAAATATTGATGATTTGCAATTGAAGTTATAACAATCGTAATTTTGTATATTATTATTATTATTTTAATTTATAATTATTACATTACCAATCAATGCCAGTGTTTGTGTAAAAAGATCTGTATGTATGTAGGTAGTCATTTATCTATTGATGTGACCCATTATATTGTAAGATTTTATTATGTAATGTTTGTTTTATTTACTAAATAACTACTCCTGCTCAGTTCCTATTGACCGTAGCGTAATGTCATATTATAGCCCACATTTCTCGATAAACGGCCTATCCAATACAAAAAGAAATGGGTACTTGCCAACTAGTTCAATTCAATACTTTTATCGAACTGTCAAAAACGACAGTTTTCTATGAATTTTGTACGAGATTGTGTATTGTGACGGCACGTTTTTTAGCGTCAAACAGCATAATTATTTGTTAAAAATTTGCTGGAAAAATACTAAAAATAAGTTGGTCATAAAATCAATTATTGAAAGTGTGATTATTTTTTAATATTTTATTGTAAGTATTGAACAGTTGAAATAATTTATTTTTGACTAGCTTTTACCCGCGGCTTCGCTCGCGCCACAAAAGGATAAAAAGTAGCCTATGTGACATATATCAATACACACAGCGCCATCTATACCAATACTTTTGTTTTTCCTCGGAAATATCAAATTTTTCCGGTTTAAAAAGTACCCTATTATTTAATCCCAACTTCTAACTTTACGTCTGCAAAAATTCAAAACAATCGGTTTAGTAGATAAGGCGTGAAAGTAGAACAAACAAACAAACAAACTCACTTTCCGATTTATAATATTATAGTAAGGATAAGGATTAAGGAAAGTACCCAATTATACAATTTAAACAAGTTGTTCCGACTGCCTCGTCGGCCGAGTGGTCGTAAGTGCGACTGCCGGGCAAGGGGTCTCGGGTTCGATTCCCGGGTCGGGCAAAATATTACTGGGTTTTATATATTCTCAGTAGTAGCACGAAGTTTGGAATTGTGCCCGGTATATGGCAATAGGTTTACCCCCTATTACATGGGACTCATAACATAAATAGTGAAAAGTAGGTGTTACATTGTACAGTGGTATAATGTGTACCTCTGCCTACCCCTTCGGGGCTAAAAAGGCGTGATATTATTATTATGTTGTTCCGAAGACTGACTGACAGAGTACTCTTCAGCTTAATATATTACTAGCTACTATAAGTTTCACCCGCTCGCCTTCTATTGATCGTACCATAACGTTACATTATACCCTAGATCCACTATCGCTTTTGTTTAAATATCATGACTTCATAAACAATTTCCGATACAAGAATTTTGTTCATTGGTAACGTATGTCGTATAAAGGGAAGAAAAATCATTAGGTAATAAAGGTAATTTAGTGAAATGCGTGTGTGGGACAGCCATGCTTCGGCACGAATGAGCCGGCTCGACCGGAGTGATACCACGGCCGAGCAGAAAACCGACGTGAAACAACCGAACAGTTGTGTTTCATCATGTGAGTGAGGTTACCGGAGGCCCAACTATCTCTTCCTGCCCCAATCCCTGAATCCCCGACAATCCTCAAATTCCTAATCTCCCAAAAGGTCGATAACGCACTTGTAACGTCTCTGGTGTTCCAAGTGGCCATGGATAACGCCGATTGCTTACCATCAGGTGATCTGTCTGCTCGTTTATCGGCCCATTCCTTTAAAATTATAGCATTTTGTTGTAAAAGGTATATATTTTTTTAAAGTTATAAAGATATTGAATTAATTTTTGTGTGATCCACAGATTGTTGTTTCGGGTCTGGGTATCATGTGTATGTCAACTTGTATGTTTGTAAACACGCCCACGACACACGAGACTACCCTAAGGTGGGGCAACGTTTTTTTTAAGAGAGAAAGAGAAGTGAGTTTCTTAGCTTCCAAGTGTATAATAAAAGTATAAATATAAGAAAAAAAGGACTAAAGGAGACTGCCTCATTGGCCGAGTGGTCGTAAGTGCGACTGCCGGGCAAGGGGTTTCGGGTTCGATTCCCGGGTCGGGCAAAGTATTACTGGGTTTGTTAAGTCTCAGTACTAGCACGGAGTCTGGAAATGTGTCCGGTATATGGCAATAGACTCCCTATTACATAGGACTCATAACATAAATAGTCAAAAGTGGGTGTTACATTGTACGGTGGCATTACGGTAAAACGGGGTGAATAGAATTCGAGGGGTGAATAAATAAAGGGAAAATATTCCAACATTTATTCACCCCATTCCTGTATCGTTCAATTCAATTTCAATTCTATTCACCCCGTTTTACGGCAAGTAATGTGCACCTCAGCCTACCCCTTCGGGGATAAAATGCGTGATGTTATTACAAACAAACGAAAAGTTAAGAAATAAAACTCGATATAATGTTAAAATTATATGTACTATCGATAACTTAGATTAGATCACATAACATGGTTAATATAGGAAGTTATTTAGCTCTTGTCATCTTTTCTCGACTTGTCCTCGTGTCGGCGACCCAACATGTCGCGCTTGGCGCAGCATTTGCCGTTCTGGAAATAGAAAATAGAATATTATTTTCTAATAGCAATACTATACTATACTGCCTCGTTGGCCGAGTGGTCGCAAGTGCGACTGACGGGCATGGGGTCTCGGGTTCGATTCCAGGGTCGGGCAAAGTATTACTGGGTTTTAAAAAAAATCTCAGTAGTAGCACGGAGTCTGGAATTGTGACCGGTATATGGCAATAGGCTCACCCCCTATTACATGGGACTCATAACATAAATAGTGAAAAGTGGGTGTAACTTCTGTGTGCACTTCTGCCTACCCCTTTAGGGATAAAAGGCGTGATGTTATGTAATAGCAATACTAAGCCGTAACAAGGAAGATCTTATTCAAAAAGTTAACGGTGCACAGTTTATTTTAAACTAGGTGTTGCCCGCGACTTCGCGGATATATAGTAGGGGAGGCCGGGATGCTAAATTTGCAGTTACTCGAGCGTCGTTGGGACCTACTAGATTTTGAAGATATGCTGATAGAGAGAAGAAATGGCTTAATGACAATTTCTTCCACCGGTGGGGGAAGGGGGAATCCACAGATCTTTGAAATTGTTAAGCGTAACTTTTGTTCTAGTGGTCGAGCGTGTCAGATATTGATAGTGTACATGCTCCATGTGTATTTAATAGTAAAAAAACTCTTAATCTGCCAGTTTGCATGGTGGGGTTGAATGTTCTGGAGAGTACAAACGAGAACCCTTCAAAATCCCCCCACTCTTGCAAATCAAGTTGGAATGGGCAGATTTTTTAAACGCACTTCCTTTAGCATGGTATTGACTTACCCAGATCGGATATATGGTGGGTATATTCAACATGACATTAGATTTTCCCCATATGTTAATCTGACGCGCTCGAGTAACTACCGAAATCCTTTCATGGGCTCCCCTACTAAACCCTATGCTACTCCTTAGTACATCAGCTGCCTGCCAGTAAAATTCCCGTCAAAATCAGTCCAACCATTTCCGACATTAGCCAGTACAGAGAGACAAAAATTTATCAGCATCGTCTGCATATCTATATAATGTAAAAATGAAACCCGTTTCCCGTTGTACGCCATAACTTGAGAACGGCTGGACCAATTTGGCTGATTTTTTTGTTGTGTTTATTATTGTCATGAGAAGGTTCTTATGACAGAAAAGAGTACTGAAAATCCTCCGGAAACGGGAGAAAACGGGATTGCGCGTACGAAGTCGCGGGTAGAAGCTAGTTCATAATGTAATTATTGCTGAAAACTATACAATTGGTAACATTAATCTAATTTATGAACTAACACATCAGTTATCCTAATTCGTAAGCAGCGTGTCATGTATATTGAAGAGGCCTACATGTATATTCATATGCATGTAGTAAAAAACTATTTTTTCAATATTACAAACATACACTCCAATTTATCTGTATAGATACTTCGCCGTCGAGTATCCGGTACCGGTTACCGGCGCGTATGAAAGAGCTCTATGGAGTACCAGGATAATGTTTTTTGGTCTTTTTTCCATTTCACAGTATTAAAACTAACCCAGATATCGTCCGATGGGCTCGCCTCTTATTATCTGGGACTTATAAATGGTGTAAAGTGGGTAAATTAGGGCATTAAAGGATATGTTATTTGTTAAATGTAGGATGTTTGCAAACAAACCCACGACACAGGAGACAAT